CTTTTTTCGTGTCCGGCAACGGATCGCAACCCTCAGTGTCGCGCCCGTACCGGACCGGGACCGGCAACGGGATCGCAGCCCTCGGTGTTGCTCCCACACCTCGCTCAGCCAGTGAGCGGGAACCGGTCTGTATGTGGGATCCGAACCCTTGGCGGGAGTGCCTGCCGCGCTTCCCAAGCGGCGCACTGTAGCAGTGTGCCACCGGGCCGGCCCCGAGTTTTAGTTCTGCAAGATGAAAAAGCTCTGTGGATGGATGGTGGGGATGGCTGCATAACATGAATGTATATAATGCCACTGAACATGAATAAATTTCGTGCGATGTATGTTTACTACAATAAAAAACAAAAAACCGTATGTGTCATTGGGAAGTAGGAGGTGAGTGACGGGGACAGCAGCCCTCTCCAGCTGCAGGAAACAGGGAGGAGTCAGGTGCTGGCCCCTTCTCTGTTTGCTGGGCTCCCGCGGTGGCTGCCGGACAGCTTTCTACAGACAAGGGAACAATCACCCGGGGACAGCCTGACTGTGGGAAGTGGGAAGGGGGGACAGTCTTTTTTCCGCTGGACAGCTGCTTCCTGCTGCTGTGGCAGCACAGGTGGGCATTCCAAATCCACCCGGAGACCACCCAGGCCCGGGGAGAAGGTGTGGGAGCCCTCAGCACACCTGACGCTTTCCTGCCTGTCCTGGGCAGCGGAGCCCTGTCCCATGAAACAGAGGCTCCTATGAAGACAGGCCAATCAGTGGCCCAGAGAGACACCAGCCGGCGCTCCCGGAACCCACTAGCTCCTCTTGCTGGGTGTAAGGCTCCCTGTCTAGCCAGCCTCCGTGGTGTGGCCACATGACTGAGTTCTGGCAGCCAGCAGGTGAGAACAACACTGCCCTGTAACCACCTCCTGCTTAGGACCCTCCTCCTCCCCGCTTTAGGGATTGGTGACCATGTGCCCAGAAGCTTCCGCCAGCCCGGGTGCCCAGTGACAATGTGCAGCAGAACCTCATTCTCACCAAATGTCCACACTGGGGGCCCAACCTTTATTCTGGTGAGGAGCTCACCTTTGAGAGACCTCACGGCTATGGTCTGGCTGACTAGCGTGGTGGCCCTGGAAGGCTTCTGGGCTCCCTTCTTCCAACAACGAGGCTGGGTGAGTCTGGGGGTAGCTAAAGCACCTGCCTTCAAACCTCCAGGCCCCCTTTGTGTTCTGGAGGCTTAGAGGCACAGACGCTAAGTACCTAGCAGCTTATAACTCAGATTTCATTCTCTTTCCCTTTCAGAACCAGAGAGAGTGAGCGCTCTCTGCAGTAGCTGAGAGGAGAGGTGACCAGGTGACAGGATTATGAAAGCCAGACCCAAGCTCCTAAAGCTTCACAGCCGCAGATGCAGGGCAGAGGATATGAGACCCTCAAGCCGAGAGGTTGGCTCCGTTCTTGTTGGCTAGATGAGGGCTCCTTCCTTCTCCTTCTGCCTGGGGCTGAGGGAGGAGTGGGCCTGCCTGGCCTGGACCCCACGAGGTGGGCGGAGGCCGTGGCAGGAGACAGCTGCAGGAGGCTGCGCCCTGAAGGACCAGTGTGAACGACCACTCGCTCCTGCTGCAGTCTGCAGGGGAGCATCGCGAGTCAAACTAGAGAGGCTCAGCCACACAGGAACGCAGAACACAGCAGGGCCATGGAGCCAGACAGACGTCCCAGAGCAAGACCTAGAAATGGGTGCAGATCCAGGAGTCGCAGGTGGCAGGGGGCCTGAGCTCCGGGGGTCTGGCAGTGCCATGGTCAGTACCAGAAACAGCAGTGAGACCCACAATCCCTAGGCTCAGTGGGCCACAGAATGGGTCCCACCCACAAGGCTCCACTGGGAGACCCCCAACGGGGAGAGGCCAAGAGTCCCAGGCAGGACCTCCCTAGGTCCACTGCCCCCCATTAAAGCCCCCACAGGTGGCAATTCAGGGGGGCAGGGGCCAAGCTCACATGAGCTCCCACCCACACGGGTTCTCCGGCAGCTCCTCTATGCCGAACTCCGTCCTCTGCACTCCTCACAGCTCGTGGAACCCTCACCACAAGCCAGCAAGGAGGCCCTTCTACCTCCCTCTGTGCAGATGAGAAGGCTGAGCACAGAGCACGCGAATGGAGCTGGGACTTGGAGCCGCCTGCACCCTGCTCTCCTCTGCTCCACGACTCAAGGCCACTGGACACATGACAGGGTCAGCGAGTCATGGCTCAGGGTCAAATTCGGCCCACTAGCTAAGAATGGGCTTTACATTTTTATACGGTTGAAGAAAATAAAAAGATTAGCATTTTGTGTCATGGAATTTACAGGAAGTTCAAAGCTTAGTGTCCACAAGAAGACTCGCTCACTTGTGCACTGTCCACAGCTCGCTGGAGCTGCAACCGCAGGGCTGGGCAGTGGCCGCTGGCCCCCACAGCCCTCAGAGCCTCAGATGCTTGCTACCTGTCCGTTACAAAAATGGCTCGTGGACCTGATGCAGGAGGAGGTGTTTGGTCCACGTGGAGAGGGCCCTACTGGAGTGACACGCCACTTCTCTTATGGATTTCCTATGCGGACAAGCCAGTGCACCAACCACACACCCCACAGATGCCTCTGCAGCCTCCCCAAGCCCAGGGTTCATTGGGCAGTGCCCCCTCACCATGGTGCCGTGAGTCTGCACCAGCGACTCAGTGCAGTTCTGGCAACTTTGAAGGAAAAGTTCCACCTCCCCAAGTCTGCCTTCCACCTTCTCAAACTTTAGATCCCCAGCTCATGAAACAAGTTAGTGTACAAGATGGAAGGTCAGCTCCTCTGGGCCAAGGAGACAAAGGGACTGCCTAGGCCTGGCACCTGACCCCAGCTCAGTGACTCTCAGATCACCGAGACACAGGGCACCAGGCAAGGCAGATAGCCAGCCACTGCCCGGGTCACTTTACCTTCTTTGAAGACAGCAGCAAGGTCTGGACCGGCTGAAAGTCCTGGAAAAGCTGGGTCTCCTCGATGACGTGCACCTCGCTCTCAAGGCTGACAGCCTTGTGCAGGGCCCCCCGGTCTGCAGGGCAGAGCTACAGTCAGTGACGCGACCCCAGGAGGAGGAACCAAGGACCTGACCACAGTGCCAATGTGCACCCTTCCTCACTCGCAAGCCATTCCCACAAGACACTCAGGAAAAGATGACGATTCTGCTTTAGAAATGAATAAGAATAAGCCTTTGATAGAGTAAACAACTGAAAATTTAAGTGTTATGGGTTATTCTGATTTTCTCATGAAAAATAAACTAATGTTCCATGGTTAACTCCGGCAAGCCTTCATCGACAAAGTCGATGTGAACACATTTGAAACTGGATCCCGCATGACGTGGCTCTTGGACTCCACACCAGCCCCTGGGGGTGTCATCCCATGAGGGGACCTAGGCAGGCAGGTGAGTCAGGGCTTGAGGTCAGCCGGAAGCTCCAAGACAGGCCACTGGGCCCTGTCAGCACCTGCAGCTCCTGGCCACCGTCCCTTTCAGAAATGCTGTTTCAGAGTCTACGCATTAGGGAAGGTGCACCTCCCACAGCAGATCAGGACAGGTCTCAAACCTGGCTCCTGCGACAGGGCAGCAGGGACCAGCTCCCACCAGCAGTGAGGAGATGCTGGGCTGATGCTTCCTGGAGGCTGCTCTCATCCGCCACCTGCACAGGTGTCACCAGGCTCCCTGGCAGTGAAGGCTCCTTTGTACCAGCCCAGATCAGGGCCAGGACATGCATTTTTAACAAGTACCCCAGGTGACCTTATGGTCACAGAAATCTAGAAGCCACGTGCTGTGGTGACTTCTCAGTAATCCTTTAACAATGTAACAAACCACTTGGGCCACCTTAAGGGAGATGCCAGATCTATGTACAAAAGACTAATTGGACTTCCTAATTTTCTGACCAAAGGACACATGTGATGCTACTCTGGGGCCCTCAGAACCCACCTGTACCAACAAACATGACGTCATAGGCGGTGCCATCTAGGGCATGGGTCCTGTCCACCACAATCTGGGTGTAGTTCACATCTTTTTTGATTAACCTGGGTCTGTTGTCCATTGGGGTCACCGAGTCATCCATCAAAGGGTGGTCTTTGACAAACTGCAGTGTTTTGTCTGGTAAATTCAAAGAGCTGGTGTAGTTGGCTGCCCGGGCTTCACTGTCGATGCACTATGGGGGCAATATCACCTGCTGTTAACACACATGTACATGCACAACCCAACATGGTGCTTCGCACAAGCATGAGAACTGATGCTGGCTGCACAATCTGGGACTGCACAGTGAATTTCTTGGAAGAAGGGGACAGTGAACAACCCAGGTGGCCTTTCCCCAGCAATGAGAGGACACAGATATAAAGCATACCCACGGATATGACTGAGCTTCATGATACACAGTGGAAGAATATTTATCTACTTATAAATGAGAAATACTTATTAAGCTTTTGAAATTGAAAAATAAAACACTTATTTGGTAGCTTTTCCACGAGAAGAGAAGAATGACAAACGTTGCTAAAAACAGTCCAACTCTAAATGGCATCCAAGATAAAGAGCACAAAGGATTTTTTTCTGTCCTAGCTCCCCAATGTGGCTTAAACAAAATTTGTGACCAGAGCTAAACACATTTTACTTAACAGTAAGCACAGAAGAAATGATGATGGGATCTGAGACAGATGCCCCATGGAGGGGAGCCCATCTGGGGGGAGCCCCGAGGACCAAGGCAATGTCCAGACCTCTCCCCAGGGGGGCCCCGCACACTGCCTGACAATCATTCACTACGTGGGGGCAGTGAGTGGGTGTGGCCGAAGCAGCCTAGAAATGTGCACTTATTTCCACATAAAACTCACTATTTTTAGGAGGGAAAAATGTGACTCTATTGATCAGGGCACAGTATAGCTCACGAAAGTGTGGAGGCCTTTGCAAAGAAATCATGTGCGTCTCTGCAGGAAACTGAAAACAAAATATATCTAATTGTATGATGCAATGTTAGTTTCTCGAAACAGCACATGCCAGGGGCACAGCATCCTGTCTGGGCAGTGTGTGGCAACGGCTGTTACACAACAGACAAAAGAGAAGATCAATGCCCCTCCTAGGCCCACGGACACCCAGCTCACTGTGGGGATGCCCGGCACCTACCCAGTGCAGAGAGACTCGGCTACCTGCACAGAGGCGCTGGCACCTGCCTGGCTTGCACTCTCTGGGTGTGAATGGGAAGAACACCTGCCGCCCAGAGCCCCCAGCCCCTGCTCACCGCTCCAGGCCGCGGCTTGGGTACCGGGCCATTGTAGCGAACCCACTTGGTATGGGACTGTTCCACCGTGGCACTCTGCATGTACTTCCCGCGGGAGAAGACCTCCTCCGCCGTGGACAGGTTGTAGGTGCACACCGCCGACAGCCCCACGTTGTTCCTGGGGAGGAAGGGAGGCCCCATGAGCACCGAAAGGGCAGCGAGCCCGAGCAGAGAGATGGGAGCTCACCCCACCGAGGGCACTTACAGCTGCGGGGTGAAGAGCGCATAGAACACCGGCTCCTTCAGGCCTGGGGACCTGAGCACAAAGACGTCCTGCAGCACATTGAAGACCAGGCTGCTGTCTGGCCGGGAGCAGATCAGTCTGGCCTTCAGGAAGGAGGTCCACTTCTTCTGTAAGGTCCTCAGGCCGCCCTGGTCCCCCTGAAACCCCAATGACAAGGTGTGGCAGGAGGACAGCAGTACCCCCCTACCTCCACGTGGGCAGACGCCTGCACGAGCCAAGGCCACGCTGCAAAGGAGAGCAGGCCGCAGCCGACGCCGTGGCCTGCAGCACTACCACTGTGCCAGCTTGGATCACGCAACTTTCCCGTATGAAAACACAAAACAGAACGGACCAAAAACCTCTCGCTGAAAACTCAATGGATCACAGCTAAAGCCACCACGTCTGAGTCAGCGCCAGCACTCGGTCTCACAGCAGATGTGGGCCCTGTCTGCAGTCACTTTCACCTGCTGTGGCCTCTGGCTACGGTTCATTTTCTTGACCTGACTCATGAGCTGTCAGAGGATGAGCCAGGGGCCAGGCAGGTGGCAGACAGCCTCCTCCCACCCAGCAGCACATCCCAGACAGACGTGTGGCCATTCCCTTGAGAGATCAGGTCCTTCACCTCCTTTCTACCCACTGAACGATCTGCTAAAGTGCTTTGGACCTACTAGGCTCTCCATAAACATTTTTTAGTGGACCAATGACCAAGAGACAACCACAAAACACATACGACTTCATGTAGTCTGGAGAGAAATACTCAAACTATAAAATCTAAATGCAAAAGAATATAAAACCCAGAAGTCCTTATTTATACTGGATACAATGAAACCATACCCCTCTTCATCGTTACCATGTATCAATCACGAAAAGCTAAGTTCTCTTTTTCATAAAAGGGCTTCATTTTCTCCCTTGGTGTCTTACCAAAGAATAGCCTCCAGCATGTCTATGGTCACTAGCCTCATTTGGCTCCCAGTCAACAGCTGAAGGGTCTGTGCATGGGGAAGGTGTGGGCAGTGGGGCTAACTCAAGCTGGCTACAGTCCAGTGGTGAAGACATTTGTGGGAACAGAAAATGAATGGATGACAGAAGCCCACCCAAGATTTGGAGAGACCCTGTGGCTTGCATCTGGGGGAGGGGGACAGCCGTGCTGTGCATTGTTGGACCATGCTTACTTACACTCCTGCAGACCCACCCCTGTGCCAGGTAACAAGGTCAAGGTCACGGCAGGTCTGACCCTGGCTTCCTGACAGCCACACAGCTGCAGGAGGGGAGGGGAGTGCTCAGTTCCCCAGCCAGTGCTACCCTGAGGGCGCCCCACAGGAGGGGGGTCTCTCTCCCATGGGAGACCCTAGCCCCTCTGCACCCACCCCACCCTGCCACCCACCAGCCTGCCTGGATGCTGGAACTTTTGCCACAATGGTCTCCTGGTCTGCAAGATGGGGAGTGTGGCAGCCACAGGTGGAGACAGCTGGGGAATTTGGTCAGCAAACCCTGGCTAGGGAAGGTCTGTGCAGGTGACAGAGCACTAGACAGACATGCGGGCACAGAGAGCACCCTCCTTCTCCCTTACTCAGTGAGTTGTTACGGGAGGGACGTCAAAAGCATCCACTGTGTGTGCAGCAGGCACGAAATCCTTGCTGTCATGATGACAGAGTGCTCTGATGGGGAGCACTACACAGGAGGGGCCGTGTAACACCGTAAGCTGCACGGTTTCCACAAGGGATGCACGGCCAGCAGCTCCAAGCCGAGCAGCTGGCCAGTGACAGTGGCTGCTGCATCTCATGCAGTTTCTGGTGGATTCTCCAGGCCTGTCAACCTGCTTCCCAGAAACTGCTACCGGAGCCACCTCAAGGTTTCCTAAAATCAGCCCCCAAAGCAGTTTTCCTGTTGTGCTAAGCACTCTGTCTACAGTGTGTTATTTAAAACCACCCTCCCTTCTCCAGCTTTACTTCAAGCACTGTGCTTTGACAGATGTCTGAGGGCCAGTTCTCTCTTCTTACTCTCTTGCCCTCAGTAACTGTTTCATCCTAGGTTGATGAAGCGAGCTAAACGTGAAGTTCCAATCCCCACACAATCTGGTGAATACACTCAACAAAAACTCGCTTTTCACAACCTGGGGGAGGTTTGAGGAAAGTATGTCAAAAAACTAAATTTTGCAAGAACAGCAAGTCACACATAATGGGCCAAGGCTCCCTTGGTCTCCAAGGAGACCACCAGAGATCCCGAGAGGGGACAGCCTGACACCTGACAGCCCCTTCAACAGTGGCGTCTGCAGCACAACACGGAGGAAAAGAGAGGTGGGAAGTGCCCGTACCCGGGAGGTGACCAACCTCCCAGACATGCTATCGCTGGCCTCGGGCAGGAGGCGAGGGAGGCTGGGATGGAAGCGCGCTCACCTTGCACACCCTCGCCACCCGTGGGATCATCAGCTTGAACACGAACTCGTACTCCACGGACACCTCCGTGAAGAAGAAGTAGACTCTGTCGTCCTCGCCACTGCTGCCATCTGGGCTTTTTCGGATCACATCAGCAAAGACGAAGCTAGGCTCTGCAGAGAGACAACACCAGATTATCCCTGACCACAGAGCTGCATCCACTCGCTACCCGTGGTGTCACCAGGCTGGCCCACGCCGCCTTGTGGGGGGCTTCCCTGAAAAGACATCTGGAGTGTGCAGTACCATGCCCCAAACAAAGTCCAGGGTCTAGGAACGATGACAGCACTGAACCTGGATGGTGCCTGTCCTGCCCTCCTGTCACAGAGGGTGCCCCTCATGGGGGTCTGTAGTGCACCCCACCTGGGGTCCACCTTGAGTTCTCCTACTGGAACTTGAGGCTGGCAGGCATTCTAGGGACCACAGGGAACCAGACTGTACCAGCCTCGAAGACCTACTGTGAGATGTGCATTTGCTGGTTTAAACAGCATGGACCTCAAATAAACTAACTCCAACCAGTGACTCAGGCACTCTGAGGCTCAGAGGCCATCCTGCATCTTGGGCTGCAGGATCCGCCCCCGGATCAAGAGACTTCAAAACCCAGTCCCTGCCCGTGGCTGGTCACCACCCATGAGAAAAGCCCCCAGGCCAGCGCTCTGCACGCTGAGGTCAGACACGTACTCTGGCAGTATCCAGTCTTCCAGATCCCATGCAACCAGGCAGATGCCAATGCCAGCATCGGCTCCACACTTCAACATCACGCCAGAAATGACACCACAGCCCCATCGGTTTAGTCTGAGTTCGCCATTTACCATCAGATTCTCACTTTCATAAAAGTTCTCCAATCCATTTTTAAGGTCAGGGGAGGGTAAAAGCAGCCTTAAAACAGTGCTCTGTTAGTGGAGGAAAAACCAAACGAGATGCCCAGACTCTGGCCGTGGGTCCTGAGCAGTTCCAGAAGCGTGCCCAGCACTCAGGGGCTGACGAGAGCTCAGGGGCATTCACAGCTCTGGGACAGCAAAAGCAAAAGGAAACGGGTGGGCGCTCACGAGGAGAAACGCCTGTGCCGAGCGGCCGCTCCCTACCGTTCAGCCAAGGGATCGCGTACTCCGTTCTCAGAGGACTGTGCGAGGAATTGCGGGAGATGATAGGTTCGCTTCCCAAAAAGTTATACGACGTGCCAGAATAAAGCTCTCCGTCTGCAGCGGCCCAGGAGGAAGAAGGGAAAGAGAAGCACCTCTCAGGCTGTGGCACCAACACTGAGGATGGACACTTGACGTGTTTTTCTTTATATCCTAGTTAAGCCTCCCTGGGAAGGGAAAGAACGCCTCCCCAACTTCTGGGATGCACGCTTCTGCTTCCTCCATCTCCTGTTTCTTTTCTTTGACATGACTAATCTTATGCTCCACATCCAGCTGCATTTTATGAGTTAAGGAGCAATAACTAAACACGAGCCATTCCTGTACCCAGTAAAATGTTAACAAATATGCTCATGGGTGCACCCGAGGCTCGTGGAGGCACAAGACCCTCCACAGGCAGCCTGTGGCCCGACACAAACCTCCCTCCAGAACAGAAGCATCCTCTCAAGATGCCCAAGTCATCCGAATGACATGCACCCATGACGGACCTAAGGCAATCGTTTGCCATGGTGCTGGTTAGCCTTTTGACATGAATTCAGAAGCTCTTATTAAAGGGTCTATGCAGTCACATAAAACCTTTTGTCAGGACAGGTAGTATTTGAACAAAGCCAAGGAAGACAGTACAGTCATTCCTCTGTATGCACAGGAGACTGGTTCCAGGACCCTCTTGGATACCAAAGTCCAGGGATGTTCAAGTCACTGATATAAAATGGCACAGTATTTGCACATAACCTACGCACATCCTCCCGTCTACTTCAAATCATTTCTAGATTACTTATAACACCTAACACAATGCAAATGCGATGTAAATAGTGATTATACTGTATGATCTTTTAATTTGTATTATTTTTTATTGTTGTACTGTTATTTATTTATTTATTTGGAATATTTTCAATCTGCAGCCGCGGAACCCATGAACATGGAGGGCAGCCTGTAACTGGGAGCGACAGAGGACACGTATCCTACTTTGGTCCTCCATGTGCCACCATAGCCCTCGGGACTCACCAACCATGACGGACGTGTAGCTGTGTGCTGGGTCAAAGGGACACCTTCCTTTGCCATCTTCATTTTTCCCCAGAAATTTAAAGGTGGTTAAGTTCTACAGTTGAATAAAAAGAAAGTGCATTATAAAATTTCTGAATTTCTGTAGAAATAACATGTCTCTGCTCCATTTAATTTTACAGATGCCCCATTCTTGGTAGCTGAAGAGGACAGAGTACGCAGGTGGGGCCATATGGGCCCCACCCTCAGGAGCTGTGCCATGTGTCCTCAGTTCAGGTGTGGACACCAGCACCTTGGTGCCCTGGTTTTGACACTTGGCAAACTCCTCACGATCTGGGGGCTTACATTTACTCATCTGTAGAACAGAGGCGGCAATGCTGGTGGCTCTAGAGCTATAAAGTGGCCAAAGAGTACCAAGCACAGGATGTGCTCTGTGAGTGAGGGGACTCCCACGTGCACAACACCAGCATCCAGAGCACTGCAGAACCACACTGTCCAGTCAGCAGGTAACAGAAAAACAAAATCAAAAGCCATAGACAAGGGCCGGCCCGGTGGTGCACTGCTACAGTGCGCCGCTTGGGAGTGTGGCGGCGCTCCCGCCGAGGGTTCGGATCCCACATACAGCGGTTCCCGCTCACTGGCTGAGCGAGGTGCGGGCACAACACCAAGGGTTGCGATCCCGTTGCCGGACACGAAAAAAGACAAAAAGGAAAAAAAAAAAAAAAAGCCATAGAGAAGCAGAACCCCTGCCTCCCTCTACCCACCAAAACATATTCCAGATGGATCGGTGATCGTAATATTAAAAATGGAACTAAAAAAAAGAGTGGGTGAGTATTTCAATCTCGGGATAATCTCTCTTCACCCAATAAGAAAGCCCAAACCTGTATAAGGAAAAAATGAATAGATACAACTACATACGGAACTGGAAAGCTCTCACACAGGGAAAACACGAGACAAAGTCAAATGACAAGTGACAAACGGGGAAATACATGCAAAATGACAGATGGGAGCATGTCTAGGTCAGGCAATATGAACTGGGTGACAATACACTCCCCTTGGTATGATCCATGTATCACATCTCGAAAGGACTTTTGGGGCTTGGGGGAAATCTAAACAGGGTCTGGAGATGAGTTGATATTGGGGAATTTTTATAGATTTTCTTAGATGTAATGACAAAATTGGAGTTAGTAAGAAAATGTCATTATTCTTAGGCGATGCCTGTAAAGGCATTTGGGCACCATGAGTCACAGTTCAGCAAGCACAGACACACATACACACGTGTGCACAGACACGTATGCAGACACACGCACACACAGACACACGAGTGTGTGCACACACATTCCCAATTGTGTAATCTAGGTGGTCAGTATACACGAGTGATCAACTTTTTTGTAGGTTTGAAATTTTTTATTAAAAGTATTAGGAAAAATTGTAGGCCTAGGTTTAAATCACACACAGGCTGAGTATCCCTTATCTGAAATATTTGGGACCGGAAGTGTTTCCAGATTTTAGACTTTTTCAGATTTTGGAACATTTGCATTACATGAGTACACCAGCTGAGCCTCCCTAACTCAAGCATCCAAAATCCAACATGTTCCAATGAGCATTTCCTTTGAGCATTATGTCGGCACTCAAAAGTTTCAGATTTCAGATTTTCAGACTCGGGATGCTCAACCTGTATACAATCCCCTCACTTCAACAACTGAGATATCTATGGAATGTAAGTTTAAATGACAGTACTTTAAGTTTCTGATTAACCAGAGTTTAGCCAGAAAATCTTTTGTTGTGCAAAATGTTTCTAGTACAGCTGCACTTTTTTTTTTTTTTTTTTTTTTTTTTGCACTTAAGTCTTTGAAGACTGAGCATCTTAGCATTCCGGAAGCACTTCCTCCCATAACAACTTTTGCTGCTAGCATATGTGGGTACAGACAGCTAGGTGAACCCGTGCTATGGGTCTCACCCCAGGTCTGAGTGCAAGTGCCAGGTTTCCTAAGCAAGTTTCTCATGAGTCCATATTTTGTCTTGTCATTTATCTCTGACTCAAAGCTGGAAAATATTTTTTAAATTCTATTTAGGGTTCTAGCAAACTAAGCTTTTCACTATAGCATATTTTGCCTTTGTCAGGTACTCACTAAATTTGTGATGCTCATTAGAAAATGTGCTTCATTTCCAATCCTCACATGTACTTATTTAAAATGCTCCTTCTCCCTCTCTTTGGGATTATTATCAAATTGCTCATCAGATTATCTAAATAAAGAGGCTCTCTCCTTGCATATGCCATAGTCTAATCTTCTCTATCTGGCTATACAGAGTAAGGAAGGCACCCCTCCCAGGACCCTCACAGAGCGGGAGGCACTGGATGGCAGTCTGGGCAGAACAGCTCTGCCTCAACGAACCAACCAAGCCAAACGCACCGACCAAGCACACGTGCAATCCAGGACCAGTGTCTTGACTTTCCTACTTGACCTGGATCCCCATAGCTGCCAGGCCTTCCTCATGAAACATGTAACATGAAAAGCAGGAGGAGGCAATATGCTGGGATAACAGCATGTGGGGGCTTACATCTGTTAGCAGTTCACTTTCTAAGATATTCCCCCACTGCAGGTCCTGCACCGATGCCAAGGGCTACCCATATTCTGTGCCCTGCCCTGAGCCACACCCTCTGCCACAAACCCTGATGCTTAGAGAAGCCAAGTGGCCACATGCTCCTGATCACGGCTGCCCCCAATCCTCACATGTTGGCCCTGAGAAGACCCTATTATTCTGCAGGGTGGAAATTGCTCTATGCCTGCTTTGAGCCCTCTCTGCTTTAACCATGGGCCATGCTGGCATGAGTATGTCTGATGCAAGGGACGTGCCCACTGGTCTCACCAGGTGGTCACAGGCTGGCTGGAATGCGTTGGTCCCACACACGTAAAGGGCAGTGGCACTGAGCGGCTGAAGCACTCGGATGTAGTTGAGGCATTCTGTCTGCAAGGAAGAGATACACAATCAACATCCATCCAGCCCGAAATGCTCAAACTGTCAACACCGCTCATTCTGGGGCACAGACCTGGGTTCACCGACATCAGCTCAGTCCATGGCCCTCTTCACATGCTGGCCTGCCCTGTTCACCTACAGTGGGAGGTTCCCTGAGACCTTATTCTGCCCCTGGGCAAACCTAAACCCTCAGATGGCCTGAGCATTTCATCTCTGCAGCATCCACAGGCCATACAGGTGCCAAGTAGGATTCCATTTCAGTCTCTAATTGATACTCAGCAAAGATCTGGTGACCAGGAAGAGCAATGAGAGCTGACCTCAAATCTTCCTGGGGACGCCCACTACACAAAGAAATATATTTTACTATCGCTAAACACACAAACCACTGGTTTTGTTGCCAGGCCTGCTGAAGCTCACACTGCAGAGAATTCCCTCTGCCCTCCAAGAGACCCCACCCTCCAGCCCCTGGATGCACAGAACAGGAAATAGTGTTTTGGGGGTTGCAGCCCCACGCCCAAGGGCAGAGACTGGACTGAGAGGGGCCTGAAGCCCTCTTGTTATCAGAAAGGCCCCAGCAGGAAAACAAGCATGCCATTTGAGAACTCATTATTTTAGGCTGAAACTATCTCAGCTCAGGAAAGTTTTTTTTTTTTTTGCTATGACTGTTTTTAAACTGGGTAGAAGGAATTGATAGTTCACTCCTCCCTGCCCCCAAAAACCGGGAGGGACCCCTTCCTACTGCTTGGCTTCCACACAGGACAGCGCAAAGTGCTTGGTCTAATTCAGCTCCAAGACGACTCCCTGTGATTACGTGGCAAGGCTTGCTTTTCCCTCATTTCCTAAAGTCATTCTGCATTTAGAAACAATCACTTCAGTGAAAGAGTTTAGCACTTTCCTAAGAAAGTTTAGCAAAACATTCCTTGGGTTTTATTTTCAATTTTTAATTGTTTTGAAATTAGCCACCAATTGCTGAAATTTGCTATAACTCAGCTGTCTTGACCACTATCAAGGAAGTATGGGCTCTTGTAGCCCAAGAATCCAGTTGCCTGCCCAGCACCAGGCAGAGACAGGATGGCTCAGAGTGACAAGGGTAACCCAGAGCTCCCTGAATGGGCACCATGCTGAGGTGCCCAAGGCATGGATGTTTGCCAAAAATCCTAGCAACCCCCCAAGCCTCAGGTTGTCGGGTGTAGGAGCGGCACAACAAACCCTGAATTTCACACCACTCACCAGCGGGCATCAGAAATCACTTTCTGTAGTCAAAGTCCAGGACATTTGAATAAATTTAATTCACACAAACTTTAAAATATTTCTCTCAAATGCTTACCACGTTTGGCACTTGCTCTGAGAAACCCTATTAGAACTAGAAGGGTGAAGTGACAATGTCACATGAACTACATGAAGAGTTCATGACAATGTCACAGGAACTACCATGACCTACATGGAGTGTCTGGCCAACATTCAGGAGATCAAAACAACTGACAAATGGTGGTGTGGGTTTTTCGTAGCTTGCAAAAGAAATTACCTGTTTTGATTTCCCCTTTTCTGCACATTTTGCTTTTTTGTCTTCTGAGACCTTCCAATAGACCTGTTGGGAGGCGTGAGAGTCCATTTCAGTGCACACTCACCTTTATCAAGAGTATGAAAAATGCACAGCTTAAAAAGCACATGACTGAGGTTAGAGCCTAGAAGTTTCTCCTGAGATGATAAAATCTTAGATTGCAAAGGAGGTTTGAGAGGCAGGCCTGAGACCCAGGAGCAACCTGGGGCCTTGAGACTTCTCAGTGTGATCCGTATCTGGAAACCAGCGAGACCTAGAGGGCCAGCTCCCAGATTCCCATTATTCACCACAAAATAACAGCAAAAACAAAACTACTGGAAGTGGAGAGAATTAAATTATGGTTTAGTTTTTTTGACAAATAAGTATTTTCAGACATGAAAGTGTTTTTTTTTTTTTTTCATCCTTTCAAACAACTTTAGAGTCCAGTTTAAAAGTCTTGACATTTACCCTCTCAGTGGAACAGTAGGTAGAATCATGATTCCTTCAACCTGTGTTTTGGCTGCTGGAGAGAGTAACAGCGTAACACCACGCTCTTAGATCAAGCACCACTCTTAGTAAGACCAGTGTTCCCGCTGCATCTCCTTTCAAACCAGGGTGGACACGTGATCAGAAACTGTCAGGGGGCAGCAGCCTCAGCCCCTTGCCCTTTGAACTGCACAGGACGAAAGCAACAGAAGACAAAGGGTGGGAACAGAGACTTCCGTGTTCCTGCCTCACTTTCCCCAGAATGCCCCATCTCCCTGTGTGATATTCTGTAACTGACATGAAAATAATAACATTTTTCTCCACCCAGAGTCTCACAGCAGGTGGCAGGGTTCAGAGGTCAGGAAGCACACAGAGCTGCCTGGCACGTGGGTGGTGAGGAAGGAATTCCATGCAAGTGTTGTTCTAACTTAACACAGGGTTCCTCAGAGTGCCCAAGCCCTGGGCACAGGGACGATGGAGTGTCAGAGTGTATTGTCACAGGAATGGAAGTCCTAACCAGCACACAGGAAAGTGGAAAGGGCTTCCATTTAAAAGAGCAACTTCTGGGCTGAGCCCGTGGCGCACTCGGGAGAGTGCAGCGTTGGGAGCACAGCAGCGCTCCCGCCGCGGGTTCGGATCCTATATAGGGATGGCCGGTGCACTCACTGGCTGAGCACGGTGCGGCCGGTCTCAAAAAGGACAAATAAATAAATAAAAGAGCAACTTCCTTCAGAAATTAAAATGCAGATGATTTTCATCATCAACTTATGTGAAACCACATAAGGAAAAAGGAATGTAAACTTTAACCGGCCCTTGATCACATTCACGAGGATTTTCACTGAGGCTTGGCTGGGATCCCTTTTTTTTTCTTTTAAGTAGAAGAGGCATCTCAGCCTCTCTCCCATCCCGAGGGACCACATTGATGCCATTAATAGAGGAAGGGCCAGCACATACACACCCTGTCCATGATTGCCCCAACACGATTCTGAAAGGCAGCGTGCCGACCCCTGTGATCAGAAGGGAGCACTGGGCTCAGGGGAAGGGGATTTAACTGACGCAAAGACAGTAAGGCGCTGGGCGGGGGGAGACCACAGCGTCCTTCTGCTCAAAGGGCCTCAGTTTCAAACACGTTACTTTCAAAGGATAATGCTCAGAAGCTCATTTGTGTGTCAAACAGAAATTAAGAAATACACTAAACCCTGGAAATTCAAACAAAACAAGAAGATATCCGGAGCAGAAAAAGTACAACATAAGCCTGCAGCAGCCTGATTCCAGAGAGCAAGGAAACCACCCCAAACCACTAGAACTCAGGAGCCAACCCAGAGGCTGCCACTGGCCAAAGATGGGACAATTTGAGCATTAAAGATTTAATTGCAACAGGTCAAAGCACATCGAATATTTTTAAATACAGGAGTTCACTGTGATGCTAAATATCAAACAATCCTAAAACTCACTTTGCCCTCAGAGGGGAACTAACTCACTATTAATTCATTACTCTGGAAACTGGTAAACAAAGGCAAAGATATCAACATCTTCCTGACTTTCCCGAACCCCTGGGGACCCAAATAGCTGGTAATGGGCATTGCCCCTTTATAGATGATTTCCAGCTGACAAACGAGGGAAGAAAGGTAGAATTGGAACATCACGTTTTGCGAGCCTTGCTGAGACATGGATCTAGACTTTGCTGATCAGAGGACACTGAGGCGGGGGGAGGAACGCCCACCTCACTGGCCCCGATACCCAGACAGCCTGTGCAGTGTGGCTTTCTCAGGAAGTACACCGAGACCACTCCTAGAAATGAGACGGAGTGGTCAGAGCAGACAGCCACATGCATGGGGCGGCCTGGTTTCAATATGATTCAAGCCAACAGTTCAAACTAGCAAAACCAACATCGTTCCTGAGAGTGTCAGTGAAACTGAACACTGAACATCTGATGACATAAATTTTGGGGGTGCGTTTTTTGGTTATCTGGACAAAGGAAGTCCATTCCATTAAGAGATACACAGGTGAAGAATGTGGTATTGAGATGTGCCTCAAATGCCCCAGAGACAGAGGACCTGGCACAGGGCTGAAAGCCTGGCCTTGCCAAAGCCTCGATGGGTACAGGGCTCAAGATACGGCTGTCTCTGTTGGGGATTGTTCCGTAACAAAGAGATCAAAAATAAAGATGGAAAGGGTGTTCTCTGGCAGACAACCTGAGACGTGGCTGCATGGACAGGGGTACAGGAAGGAGGCCCCATAGTGTGGCCAGGAGAGGCCACTCATTGGAGCCAGGTCACACAGCCACAGGGGAGCAGGAGCCCAGGACATACCTCATGCTGCTTCTCGGCGATGTCGAGAGCATTCACAGCAAAGACCGCTTCCCGGGCACCAATGTACAGGGTGTCCTCGTCCTCACTCAGCAGCAAGGCTGAGTAGTTGTAGATGCCTGGCTCATGAAACTGCACTAGACGCACTTCTGCAGGTGGCAAGGGGCAGCGTCACAGGAGGGAAGGAAGAAGAGCATGAAGGAAGCGTTTGCGAGCTTGGGCCAAGCCCGAGTGCTATCTTGGCTACAGGGAGCACGTGTGAGCATGGACATGTCACAAGGGCTGTGCCTCGCTGCAGCAGAGGCCAGCCCCAGTCGATGGCTGAACCAGGCACCCTGGAGCTGAACCCCACACGCGGCCATCAAATGCAAGCACCTGAGACTGTGCACCTGACTCCCCTTCCTGCCCCCTCAAGTCCCGCTGCATGCAGCAGGTCTCCCAGAAGACCACAGGCCAGAGGCCTCCAGCTGCCCAGGAATGCAGGTCCCACCACCCGCCCATCTGACCCCTGCCTACGTCTTCAACTGTCTGCAGATTAGGTTTATAAAAAATAAAACAATGTGGGATGTTCTTATTCAGGACAAAAACATTTTACTTCAAAACCTCTAAAACATTCGATTTCAGGGAATATATCCCTCAGCCCAAGCAATGTTCAGTGAATAGCACCACAAACTCACAAAACAGAAAATCCAGTGACATTTTTTCACTTATTAGGTAACTGCATTAATAGCTATTTAGGAATATGAGTATTTAAGGAGCTGTTTCTTCTTTTCAGCTGTCCTGGCATCATGGCTTTCCCCACATTATCAAGGGTTGAACATAAGAGTTAGGTGTTAGCGTTTTCTGTTCCTGTAATTCTCCAGTGTGGAGGGAAGATGAGCACAGGGGGCAGGTCCTCTCTCAGCACATCAATGGCACTGGGAGACACGAGGTTCTGCACAAGACAGCTCTCAGCACACCTGCAAGCAACACCTTGCTCAGGCCCTAGGATTTAAGCTCTCAATCCAGAGAGCCAGAAAGACAGGAGTCCTGAGAGAAAATACCTCAAACAGAAACTAATGAGCAGCCAATGAACGACAAGCATTAAGCTCAGCTACCCTGTACCCAGCTATGGCTGTTCTCCCCGTATGCCACGGGGCAGATGCCCAGGGTGGCTTGTGCATGGACAGTGTGCCTCAAAAGTTACCGGGTACAGAGAGAAAAGCTTCCTTTCAGGGGTTCCTCCAATTCAGAAACCAAATCAGGGGCCTGAAAAAGCCTTGTCAAATGTTACCAAAGCATCCCCTTAGAAACAGTGCATGGACCTGTCTGCTCACACAGAAGTTCCAGGAGCAGATCCAGCAGATCAAACGCCAGCACTCCCAGGCACCCATCCAGCATCCTGCGCAGCAGGGTCCCCGTCCTGTCCCCACATCCTCAGCACTTAAGCAAGCTTTCACTCACCTTTGTGCTCCCAGGTGATCCGGGGTATGGGTGCAAATGCCACTGCTGTCCCAAACACCACCACAAGGGCCGTGAGCAGCCCCCCAGTGGGGGTGCACATCCTCATCAGGCAGGGGCTGCAGCGGAGGGGTCTTGGCAGCAACCACTCATGGGCAGGAGACCACGGTGGGAGTGTCACCAGATGCCACTCAGAGCCCCACGGTGGGTGCCAGTAGCACAGTCCGGAGCTGGTGGGTGGAGGGTTCCCCAAGAATCCACATTTCCTAGCTTGCCGGGTGAGGAGGGGCCACTCTCATCAAAGGGCAATTGGTGCTTTTTTCCACCTCCAGAGGAAAAGCTGGAAGAAAGTGAAAAGGAAGCATTAGGAGTCAGGATGTGTGAGACATACCCTCAGCTTTGCTCTTGCCACATGCCCAGCCATAGGACCCATCTGCTGAGGAAGATGCAGGGTGGCTGGGGACACCCCTATGCATAAACAGAATAGCAAAGCCAGGGGTGCTGGGAATCAGTGCTTCCCACTCCCCATCCCTGGCCAGCCCTGGAACATAGGACAGATGTACAGACGGGGACCTCACATGGGCTGCAGGGACACGTGGCAGACACCAACAGCCTGGCGGCTGCCCAGCTTCCTTCCTGCATGTCTGCTGTGCCCAGCTGGTAAAGAGATGAAAATGAAGGGAAGGGAACCAGGGTTTCAGTTTCCCTCAGAGACTTTGGCTTCCCAATCCTATAATGCTCAGCGAGAAAAATGGTCAGAGAGCTGCAGAGAGAGCTAAAATGCATGAGTGCACACTGACACATAGAAACACACGTGCATGCATGCGTACACACACACATACAACACATACACACTTGTAAATACACACACATGAGGCCTCACTGCGTGGGAGTGGCTGACCTCTGGCATGGGACAGGGCTGCCCCACATGGGACCCTGCTTGCTCACAGAAATGGTGGTAATTAACTCTGAATTGTCCAAAGAGAAGCAGCACCTCATTAAAAGAACAGGCTTATGCTATCTAGTGAAACTGTGCGGCTGAAGGCAGTGGGTGGAATCCACAGGTCTCCTGCCCCATCTTTCATGTCCCCAGAGTCCTCCAAGGACTCTGAACAGCTGCTGTCCTTGTCTACTTGGGCCAGCTGAGAGCCCAGCAACAGCAGAACTCACCCTCTGCTCTCTGAGCACCCTCCCCAGCCCTCAGTCTTAAACTGGCAAAGCTGAGCAGGGCATACAACCACCATCAACCTGCCCACTCCACAAAGGAGGGACTCACAAGAACTCCAATGCCAGCACTTGCCCACTGGGGAGGCAATAGGGTGGAGGCAGCGACTGGAGGGGGGCAGTTGCTGGGTGCAGCTGTGTGCAATCTGCTGGCTTGCTTTCCCTCTTTCCTGCTACCTTCCTCTTCCCAGCCCCCAGACGAGCATGGCTAGGCATGTGCTGCTTACCTGCCCCCTGTTCAAACAGCCCCCAACCATCCATCCATTCTTCAATCTGATGTGATTATCAGCCCCTCCCTTTTCTCCAGGGACTGGCCAGGGGTCGGCAAACCTTTCATGTAAAGGGCAGGAAAGTCACTATTTCCAACTTTGTGGCCTCATCCCAACTTCTCTGCTGCTGCAACTCAAAAGTACCATGTGCCAGCACAACTCGTTACAGAGATGTGCGCCTGTCTGGTTGCCAAGCCCTGCACTACAGGGTTCACAGACGCCCCAGCAACGAGGGGTAACCCAACTCTAAGTGACACTGAATCAACATGAAGCCCAGAATTGAGACTGGAGAAAGGGAGAGGGGAGCAACCTCATGGAGCAACCGTGAGCTCTTGCCCCTGCTGGGTGAGCTCATGATGCATTCACCATGTGCAGGAGACACACAGCTCCCTTGGCCCTGTGGTCCCAGGAGGAAATGATTCTCCTGCCACTAGTTAGGAAGTGAGGCATGAGGTGGCTACTGGGATCGAGGCAGGTTGGTTCTCTTAAAACGAGGAGACTGCAACCTCCAATACACAGCACACACGCTGGTGACCAGAAGAACAACAGTCAGGGAAGAGAAGCTGCTCTGGGGCTGCCCACTGGGGCGTGGGTCCCCTGTAACATGCAGCATGAAAAGGTCTCAGCCCAGCAGCCCCCACACGCATGGCATCAGTGCCTCTGGGAACTAGGTGACAGCCCTCAACATGGGCCCATTAGCTGGCGGGGAGCTGTCAGGACATGGCTGGCCCTCTCTACAAGCCCATCTCCATGACAGCTCAACATGCCCAACAATCCCAATGATCCCAACCAGCGAAGTTATGGGAGAAATACATGAAACAATGCTTTAATGATATGCTTCTCTTAATTAAAAATCAATTTTGGGGAATGAACAGAGAAAGGATAAGATATGTGACAAAGTCAGCACAGAAAATGATAATGGTAGAATCATGTGGTGGGCATGTGGGTGCTCACTTTAAGTTCAACTTTGCTGCATGTTTCAAAAATTTTATATAGGCACCAGTGATGCTGCCATCCTAGGAAGTAACCCTGCGGCCATCAAGGATTCCACAGGTACCAGGGAGACAGGAGCAGCCTTCGATGCCACTGCCACTGCCACCACTGCCACAAGGGAACCCCACTGCCACTGCAGACACCATAGCTGTGTGGGCCACCACTGTGGACACTATAGCCAACCAGGCAGCTGCTGCAATTGCCGCCACCACTGGCACCACCAGGCAGCCAACATCATCCTGTGAGCAGCCCACTGCCACTGGAGCCACCACTACCATGCAGGCAGCCCACCAAAGCCACTTCCACAACCACTGGCACCACAAGGGTGGCCTGATACCACAGCAGCCACTGCCGCTGTGCAGGGAGACCGCTGACCACTCAACTGTATTGACAATGAGGGTCACCAGTGGAGTCCAGGGAAGGAAAGTAACAGAAGCAGCAACTGCTCTACCAGATGACCAGACATCAATGTAGAGATACTAAAAATATGAAAAAACAAGAAAATGAGTCCACCAAAGGAATACAATAACTCTCAAGAACCAGACCCCATAGAGCAAGAAACTCTTGAAATGACTGAAAAGGAAATCCAGGTAAAAATCTTTTTTTTGTCTTTTTTTGTGTCCGGCAATGGATCGCAATCCTCAGTGTCGTGCCCATACCGGACCAGGACCGGCAACGGGATCGCAAACCTCGGTGCTGCGCCTGCACCTCACTCAGCCAGTGAGTGGGAACTGGTCTGTATGTGGGATCCGAACCCTCGGCGGGAGCGTCGCCGCACTCCCAAGTGGCGCACTATAGCAGTGCGCCACCGGGCCGGCCCCAGGTAAAAATCTTAAGGAACCTCAATGAGATACAAGAAGATGCAGTTAAACAACACACATTATAGTCAAACTGGCAAAACTTGAAGACAGAGAGAATTCTAAAAACAGCAAAAGTGTCAAGTCACCTATAAGGGAGTCCCTATCAGACTAACAGCAGACTTCTCAACAGAAACTCTACAGACTAGAAGAGAATGGGATGATATATTCAAAATACTAAAAAAAAAAAAAAACACTGCCAGCCACAAATACTATAACCAGCAAGGTTATCATTCAGAAATGAAGGAAAAATAGTGTGTTTCCCAGACAAACAAAAACTACAGGAATTCACCACCACATGACTAGCCCAACAAGAAATTCTCAAGGGAGTCCTGCATCTGGAATCCAAAAACACAGTAACCACTACCACAAATACACAAGAAAGAACAAAACCCACTGGTAGAACAAAAATGCAAACAAGAAAAAGAAAGAAAATATATTTTACCACCTCCAAAAAACAACAAACACCAAAGACAAACAATAAAAGGGAAAGAAACAAAAGATATTTAAAACAACCAAATGAAAATCAATAAAATGCCAGAAGTAAGACAATACTTTTCAGTAACAATCCTAAATGTAAATGGATTAAATTCCCCACTCAAAAGACACAGACTGGCTGATTGAATTGAAAAGCTAGATCCAACTACATGTTATCTATAAGAGACTCACCTCGCCTGTAAAGACACACAGACCAAGAGTGAAGGGATGGAAAAAGATGTACTATGAAAATGGAAATAAAAAATGAGCAGGAGTAGTTATTCTTACATCAGATAAAATAGACTTTAAACCAAAAACTATAAAAAGTGACAAACAAGATCACTATATAACGATAAAGGGATCTATCCAGCAAGAAGACATAACAATTATAAATGTATATGCATGCAACATTAGAGCACCCAGATATATAAAGGAAACAATATTAGACCTAAGGAAAGAGATAGACCCAATTATGATCATAGTTGGAGACCTGAACACCCCCCTCTCGACAGTGGACAGATCATCTAGGCAACAAATCAACAAGAGAGACAGGATTTAAACCACACCTTAGACCAATTGGACTTGGCAAGTATCTACAGAACATTTTATCCAACAACCACAGAATACACATTCTTCTCATCAGTGCATGGAACATTCTCCAGGATAGACTACACGTTAGGTCATAAGCCTCAACAAATTTTTAAAAATTGAAATCATTTCAAGTATTTTCTCAGACCACAATGAATTAAAATTTTATATACTCTGAAAACTATACAAAAGTAGAAATTAAACATACTCCTGAACAATATATGGGTCTGAGAAGAAATTAATCAGGAAACCAAAAAATGTCTTGAAACTAATGACAATAAAGACACATCAGGGCCGGCCCGGTGGCGCACTGGATAGTGCGCCGCTTGGGAAGCGCGGTGGCGCTCCCGTCCGAGGGTTCGGATCCCACGTATAGACCGGTTCCCGCTCACTGGTTGAGCGAGGCGCGGGAGCAACACCGAGGCTTGCGATCCCGTTGCCGGTCCCCGGTCCGGTACGGGGGCAACACTGAGGGTTGCGATCCGTTGCCGGACACGGAAAAAAGACAAAAAAAAAAATAAATAAATAAATAAAGACACATCATACCAAAATCTATGGGATGCTGCAAAAGAGTACCAAGAAGGAAGTTTATTGCAATAAATGATACATCAGAAGAATAGAAAGATTTTAAATAAATGTCATACTGCTACACCTCAAAGAACTAGAAAAACAAGAACAATCCAATCCCCAAATTCATAGACAGAAAGAAATAATTAAGATCAGAGCAGAATTAAATGAAATAGAAACACCAAAAAATGATACAAAAGATCAATGAAACAAAAAGTTGTTTTTTTGAGAAGATAAACAAAATAGACCATTAGCTAGGCTAACTAAAAAAAGATGAGAAGACCCAAATAACAAAAATTAGAAATGAAAAATAAGACATTACAACTGATACCACACAAATACAAACAATCATTAGAGACTATTAT